GACACACCTGTCCCGCTACGCCTACTTACTGATTCCTAATGTATTCGAACTCCAGGGAAGTGGACGGTAGCACCTTATCACTACCGCAAGAAGTGAGAGTAAGTTTATGCCCTTCAGCAGGAGAAAAACTTGTAGATAATGTCAAAAACTTGGAAGTCGGTCGACACAGAAAAATCAGTCTCCTTAGCGTAGCTAATACATCCCATTTACTGGCTTATTTTCCAAATATGCCGGGCGCATATACCCGCGTGTGGTTTAATCTCACGCACCTGTACAAGATGTCAGGCACCATGTTGAAGTCGCTCTTATTCTGTTAGTGTATTTTCTGTAAAGTGTAAACTATAAAATGATTTAGAGTCTGCATCAATGTATTCGACATCTAATTACTTACGTTGAGCTCAACCCATTGCTTGTGTAAGCCTAAAGCTATATTATACGTGACCGTCAGGGAATCGCCCATGTAAATAGGGAGCTGTTTCTATCTGAGCTGCATGAATGTTTTGCCTTTACGTTATGCACCAGCTGTTATAGTTGAAGATAGAAGGGCACAATGAACCTACACTTCTATCAGTGAGGTCATCCTTAATGACGTTAGCCCTCGCCAGGGTCAACAAATACGTATGTCTTTTATTATATGAATAGCCAAGTACTACCAGGGCTTGCCTTTTCATAGGAATTCAAGTTTTAGCCGCTGCTGCTACTGATAAGCCGGACTAATAGCGCTTTTTCGGTTTCCGTGAATATAAACTCTTATTCACATATCACCCTGGATGACTCCTAAAAAGAGTTAACACAAGAAATTCTGCGCAAATTCTGTTTAGTTCAGTTTATCTGAGGAAAATGTAGGTGTGTATCTTTGAACTCGTTAGTTGTTTAGGTGCCTTTTGTGATATCAACATTTTTAAAAATGTGAGATTAAATACAAGGAAGTTTGACAAATCTGTCCAGATAAACATCACGAAATAATCACACAACATCTTAGAGCGAGGAAGCAAATTTGTGCAACTGTTACTTCGGGAACAGTTCTTCGCTTATTGGCGATGCCAGATGACATGAGCCAGACAGGTGGAACAAAATAAAAAAGAGCAGACAGTGCAAAAGAACTCCTGCGGTATTTTTCGAAAAATACAGAAGTTTGAAGGGGATTTTTTGTTCTTTTCTAGACAAAAAGAGAATACAATACAATATATGTATGATATACCACCGTCATGCCGATAAAAGCGTTTCATACTTCTGTATTATATGCGACTTTCTTGAAACGGCATGGAGTATCGATTGCCTGCAACACCCTTATAATGATACCTTTAGTCTCGGAGCATTGGAAAACATCTTCTGTTTTCCATTTTTGATCTTTCTGTTTAAATTTACGCAAGTTACATAACAGCCAAAAGAATGCAGCGGAAGAAGTTCAGAGAATATCTTTCTGGCGTTGTCTACTAGAGCATGAAATGGGCCCAGGAATAGATACTAGCAAACTATTAAATTTCCCATTCGAGCAAACAGTCAGGCTTGTCGGCCACTAACTGTTTTAAGAAAAAATCCTCAGTTCAAACTGCGTGCAGCAATTACCTGCCATACTTACTGAAACAGTTCCCGCCTGGTTTAGTTTGCGGCAGTCATAAATCTCCCCATTAAATTTACAACTTATTATGTCCACATTGCTATTTAATATACATCTTCATGCAGGATAACCTAAACTAAGTACCTTTACTGTTATTCACTTTGCTGCAAATCTTGCCAGTCCTTACTTCCATGGATTGACACCGCATTCAAACCGAAAATCTTGTACGTTGAAAGACGTAACAGTCTTAACTTTTAAGAACATGCGTACGCGCATACAAAATTCTGCACTAGGGGGTAATTTTAACTCGATGTAAAATTATTGCTTGTTGGAAACTTCTGTGATTTTGTAAAATTGCAGACAGATGAATTACTAATACTGCATTCGGCGCGCTGAGACTTCCTTGTACATGTAAAGAGTCGTCATATAGATAACTGTATGGTTTATGCGTCCACATAGGCTATCCGAGAAAGCGTCATGAAAGAGTGACCTTAGGCGTCGAATAGAATGAATCCAACTATGCGATAGTTTATGACATGATGGTGTCGAAAACTTTATTTTCGAATCATTTCTCAAAAAATTGTTCATTCAATTAAGGAAATAAAAGTAAAAACACTCATACACTCTATTTGTGTGAACAAACGAACGTCTGTGAACGCACTAAACTTGTACCGCCTTCCCATATAGCAACACTGGACTCACGGGAATGGATTGAGAGTGCTTAATAGATCACCAACTAGTTTACTGAATCCTGTTATGGAAATGTTTGCTACATTAAATTTTTATTATTGTAGCTGTTCCGATTGGATTAAATATCAACGCATACGGAACCTTATAGGAGAGAATAAGTTAGTTTGATTGACATAAAAAACGGAAAATGGACATAAAAGGAAGTAATATGAGGACTGTCAGTCATACTATCTAGGGATTTCGAACGTGCTGTTAGTTACCTTTTGGGTGCAGTCCTCTTTGTTCTGAACGGAAATGTGTCATAACATCCACTGCCTTCTGGTACAGGTCTTGCCCCGGCTAGAAGGTTTAAAGTTTCTGGTGGATGGAAAGCACTTATATCATCAAACAGAATGACGCTAAAGCTTTCCCTCTTGCTCTATTTTATACGTCGGTTTAGTTTCTCACAAAGACATTGTGGAAATCAGCCGCCACTGGCGGCTTCATTTAGTGAGCTAAACTCCTCGAGAATGTCTGGCGTGTCTCTTTTGACCTAATAATGTAGTAACGTCTTGTTCTACTGTGGTTACGGGAACACGTCACCACAAACCCCGACCATGCTGTCTAATGCCAACGTCAGATCGGATCAGACCGGATTGGACAGTAAATTTGTGCCTAACCGAGTTGAGGAAAAGTGAAGTTAACATTAAAGTCCCCGTCTCCATAGCGATTCAGCGCATTGCTCATTTCAAAAGTCTGACGCGCTTCTAACCCATCATTGTGTGCTAAGTGGCACAACTTAAAATCTGTAAACTGGTGAAATAACTTGGTCGCATCAGGACAGAAAATCAAGCTCCGGTCTATTATGTTGTTTGTGGTACTCTCATTCTGATGGGCTCTGAGCCATCCCTTGGGTTTTTTTTCTAAAAGTAAGTTCCCTCATGCCCATATGAGATGCGTGTGTGTGTGAAGACGAACCTAATCCCTACTACGGTTTTTTCATCCCATTTTGACACCGGACTCAGATGAGCGTAGGCGAAGTGAGTAAGGTACCTACTTTGTAAATCTCCTATCACTATAAGTTAATTAACGCGCAGCTCAATATATCTAGGCTATCCGTGCTGCGGGGCACAGATTGCTTCAATCATTTTTGGTGGTTGCATTTTCGGATGGTTCAACTTGTCCGATCAACTTTAACAACGAGGACGTTTTTTGAGGATACCAATTCGTTTTTAAGATACAGTTTGATTGAAATCATTCGGATCTTGAGTGGTACATTGCATTTTACTCGAGTCCTATCACTGGACTTAATTTAACTTCCAATAATGCATTGTATATGCTACGTTTGGGTGCAAGCGACGAAGTAATAAGAACAGAATTATGTAAAACCTCATCTACTGGCTTTAGCAAAGGCTGCCAGTCAACTTTCTGGGCGATGCATTCATTAGTCGACCGCCGTGTAGCTCTATTTATGGAAACATTTTCGGTAAGGATGGCGCATATAGTTCCCTACACAAAAAGTGAGAAATTTAGCCGTCCGCAATGCAGTCGTCTATGCACCGAATCCCAGCAAAATAAGGTAGGATTTATTGTGAGGTTTAGGTTTCAGGTAAGATTCAGTTGTTGGAGGGTTAGGTTTAGTGCCAACTGTAGAGTTATGGTTTAACGTTAAATTGAGCTGAGGATAAAGGCTGTATTTCAGGTTTAAGTTGAGGCTATTATCAGAGTCAAGACATGGGAATTGTGCGCAGAGGCAATTTTTTTACTTGGCGGTACGTTCCATTTCCTGTGACCTAGTAAGGGGAGCATATAAAAAATCCTCTCCGAATTGTTAACACAATAATCTGAGAAAGGACTGGAATAGCTACTGAAAGCAATACGTGTCTAACTTGTTCTAATTATTCAGATGTCTACAGATTTGACATGAAATGCATTTGAAATGGTAGGGGCACAATTTGGGTGAACACTTACTCATGGGCAAGAAGAGACGCTGCCATGTTGGTAAAAATGCGAGAAATACGTTTATTGCAGTGCCAATTCATTGTAGATCCACGACCCGATACAAACAATAAAGAAGCCAGTATGCTTAGACCATGAGCATCTACAGAAAAATCTAGCATCAGTGAACCATCCTAAAGAAAAGCTTACAGGTACTTACTTAAATATAATCAGTAAGAGCGCTACGTCCAAGCTAGCTAATAAAATTACACATTAAGTGAGGTTACAATTTTTCGGGCCTTACATGGTCAACAAATGCTTGCATCAGTACGTTGCTAAGAAATAAAATGCCGTCAGAAAAACATATGTACATTTTCCGTTGATTTCATGCTTCACCATTATGTATGGCGACGTCCAATAAGCTTTCGCTGAATTGAAAATTTGCGTTGGTGAAATCGATCGTCATTCAAGAGACCTTTATTTGCAAAATACTTTTGTTTAATTTAATTAAAACAACTCAGAACGTTACAACGCACGCTATACTGACATGTACCTTCAACAGCCTGTGACTGCATCCACCCCCTCTCCCCAAAAAAAACTGCTGTGACGTAAAAGGCTTAACCGCGGAAAACTTCTCCCATGCCATTTATCCT